TCCCTCAACTTACTACATGAAAGAAGTTGAACTCAGTACAAGTGTTTCTCTCTACACAAATTTCTCAATGATTATTTCTGCCCCAAATTTGTATAGGTGGGAATGAGTTGAAAGTGTCTTGAGTATACCAAAATATTATGGACCAGGTCCTTGATGTGGGCAACTGCACGATCTGATCTCACTTCCGTCTCTTAACAATAATTACATTTTATTTTGAGAGGCTTCATTTTTACTGTAGGCCAATTTGAGTTCTGTAAAACATGGGCAGCTTTTAAGTAATCTTCTATTGTAACAAGCAAGCAAAAGACCCAACACAAAAAACCACAAATAGAGAAAACAATCCCCATTTCCACAGTTTGTTAGACATAGCTGGTACTAGTGAATCCCCACAGTGATTAAATTCAGTAAGAACCTGAGGTAAAGGAGACTGTAAAGCTTAGTAAAAGAATGATTCCCTGTTTCTCTCTGCCTGAAGAAGTGATGGCTCAAGTCCAACTCAAAGTCAAACTACTTTACAAAACAGTTTTGGACAGAGCAATATAAAAAAATACCCCCTCAGATGTCCATTCCACCCACTGGAACAGAACCGAAAAGACCTGATGACATCAGGCCCCTTGTATTATATGATACTGAACCCAGAATGCAATTCCTAAATCCTCTTTTGATGTGAAATTAACCTTGATGGAAAGTGGCTGTGAAATGATTTTCAGCAACATACTAAAATATCAAAGCATAGCATAGTTATTACTATTACTTTAGAAAGCTGCATTAAAAGAACTTTATTAAAGAAGTTGCAAAGTAAGCACCCAAGAGCTAGGTAGTGCAAGAATTAGTCTTCATTTCAACCTTACTTTATTCCCTTGACTAGGGACAGAAGTTGCACACAAACTGGTTTAAGTGACCAGAAACTGGTTTCAACCTGTAACAGAACAGACATTCAGTGCACCTAAACTAGTTTGAAAATGGCTGAAACCAGTTTGTGGTAAACCTGGTTGAATGCAGTATCAGACTTAACTGATTTGGGTCAAACTGGTTTATGAAAGTTTGGTCTGTGGCAGAAAGCCACCTTGGTTTCTCCCCAAAAATCTCTGCCCCGTGACAC